TTTGTTCTTTTTTTTTTCTGAGGGGCTACCACTGACAGTCCTGACACTACATTCTATGAATGTGACAGTCTATTGTTATTTTTTCATTTTCTAAAAAATTCCTGATTACATATAGGCCTTTTGTGAACTCAGAGGTCACATTGTTGTGTCCCTTTTGTTGATCTCTCCTCCCTCTCTCTCTCTTTCTCTCTCTCTCTCTCTCTCACAGGTCCTAATTATACATGTCGCTAACTTGTGTGATGGTTGGCCATAAAGAAACTTGTTAAATGTTGAGGGGTTGAGGAAAGCAGTTGTTGTTGAGAGTTTTGGTGATACTGGTAAAGTGCATTTATAAACAGTTTTTAGTGTGTTTAGAGTTTAGAGTGTTTGCCCATTATTATGAATATTGTATACTGTAAATATAATGTTCTCTCGCCAATGAAGCAGTAGTGGTTGTGTGCAGTTTATTTTTATAATTACATTTAATGTATATATATAGGTTTAGACCCTGAATTTTTGTTTAGTACTTTTTTAGTACTTTTACTGTTGTTAGACTAGTTAACTGGAAAGAAGGTAATGAAAGAAGGTCCTCTTGTTTGGTTTGTTATTTGTCATTAATTCAAATTGCTTCCTCGCCCCTGGATGGCATGTCAATTTGACAGTGTATGGCTGTCTAGACCAACTTACAAATAAACAGCAGGCCTACCGGACATCCCTCAGGCGCTTCGATCCAAGTAAGGGCTTGTCAGATGCAACCCAAGATGCCCCAGGCGATGGCCCTCACCATGCAGACTGAACTGCCGTGACTTACCATTAGGGCCTTTCGCACCGCTTTAGTTCCAGAACTAAATGTAAGCTGGCTTGTAAGACAGGGTGGAGCACAGTCTTTGGGAATGAACCACCCAAATCCAGCCTCTGAAGTAAAAGTGAAGGGTATGGTTGGTGGTAACCAGAATGGGACTTAAGCTGCCACCTTGACCTATCAAGGCCATCAAAGACATGCCACCAGACGTGCTGAATGCGTACCTGGAGAGAATGAGAGGAAATCAAAATGTTGTGTAGGTACATAAAGGCAAACTTGTTAATAATGTCTCTCAGCACTTCATTTACAAGTACCTGGAAGACCATGCAGGGAAGCTCCCCTTGTAGTGCACAGAAGCAGAAATCCCTTTTTTCAAAAGTTTCTGAACAACAAAAAATGGAGGACCTTTGTCTTCAGATAAAACAACACAGTGCACTGATTTCAGAACCTTCACTTATAAAAGTACCTTCATCTGTGTGCTCCAGACTACAAGGATCTTCTGAGTTCCAGTTCAACATTCCTCGGCACTTCATGTTCAAGGCTCTTTTATAAGGAATCCAACTACTTTCTCTCACTGTAAATGGCCCAGCACAATCTGTGAAAGACGTCACTGCCATTGGACTTATCACTTGACCATGCAGAACGTAATCATCACTTAACCAAACGGTAACACAAACAAAGTTGTGGGAAAAGGCAAGCAGGGGCTGAGATTATGTCTCCCAACTCCTACTTACCCTCGCGGACCTCACAAGACCACACCACCACTGCCACATACCCCCACCCATCTACACTCCCAGCCTTTGGACAATCTCAAACTTAAAGGGCTGTGAAACTAGATACCAATGGGTGATCCGCACAATGGCGTCCTCTATGCGGTGGAGCCACTGGAGTGGGGCATGGTTCGAATAAAACATGAAGGATTGTCCCGAGAGGTAGTGGAGGGTCACCTACCCATGACCCAAGCTGAAGCCCAGAGATTTTACTTCTACTCGTCCATCTGCACATTTCTTATGGGCTGCCATGAGTCCTGTTCGATGTAGCGATTGGTGTAAATTGGCAAGTGGTAAAGGCCATCATTACATGGGATACTGGCGTTAAGGGCAATTGCCAATTTCCCTTTTTTATCCAGTATCAACTAATTTTGAGCTGTATTCAACCGTTCAAGCAATTTGTCAAACCTAGGCATTGCATAACCATTGAATTGCAATTTTAGGTTCACTTCTGGTCTGAGCTCCTTCCTCTCTTTGATTGTTGTCGCCAACTCCGCTTCCTCCCTTCCATGTTTTCAGGAAATTGAGATGGTACATTTTCCAGTCAAACCACCTCAGCAACCCCCACTTGCTGTGTGACCTCAAAGGGTTCTTGCCACTTGGCAAGTGATTTAGAGCTCAACGCTGGTAGACACAAAACCACTATTGTAAGGCTGGCTTGATTTTCTGACAAGACTGGACTCTGTCTTGTCAGGAGCTTTCACAGAAACAATAAACAGTGCAATAAAACAATAAATCTACAAACCTAGCAAAGAGATCACCAAGCAAAGGCACACAAAGCCATTCGCCCAATATTCTCTGCTCACTCATCCTGATCCTCTTAATAATTCCTGCCTAAAAAGATGTGACACTTGGGGCTTAAAATTAGCATTTTTATTTTAATTCAGCTAAGCTGTTGTGAAGTGACATTTATCTTCTTTTGGTCATACATCTTGACGTGATGTGTATTCAAGGTGCAGAGTTTATCAAACTTGAACTTTGTAATGCAATGAATTTCCCATGAGCTTGCGTTTTCTCTCACGCATTCGTGTGCATATGAATGGAAGTCAGTAGGCTTGTCTGGGATGAGCAAAATCTGCACTAAACCAATCGCAAAAAAGTGCACTGACTAAAGGTATGATAAAAAATGATTTGCTGACGACATAGCTTAATTCTCATTGGCTTAAACAATTGTGATGTTTTGTTCTATTCCAAAACTCTGACATCATGATTTACATTTATAAATATTCCTAAATATACACAGTGTGACCTCCGTAAGAAATAGGTAACTGTTTATATATTAAATGTGTGTGTGTGTGTGTGTGTCTTTGGGAGTAAATTAAACAATTAAATTTAAATTAAATTAAAAACTAAACATTTATTTTCATATAACAGCAACAGAATTTAAATAATATCCAATGTATTAGCAAGAAAGCCCACGAGCGTGAATCACACAATATCTGCCTGACTGATCCACTATGAGAAGTAAGAACGGTTCATTTTGACACTTATTTCACTCCTCCCTGACTGTAGCCGCCTACTCCTGTCTACTGTCAAGGCGAGGCATTTAACATATCAGATGAGCCTAAGGGAACAAAAGTGTAGTGTAACCGCCCCTTAAAGAGATAGTTCACCTAAAAATGAAAATTCTGTTATCATTTACTCACCCTCCACTTGTTCCTAACCTGCATGAGTGCCTTTCTTCTGTTGAACACAAAAGAAGATATTTTGAAGAATGTCGGTAACCAAACAGTTAAAGGAACCCTTTGACTTCCACAATATGGAAAGAGTACAATGGAGGTCAATGGCAACCATCAACTGTTTGGTAACCAAAATTCTTCACGATATCTTATTTTGTGCTCAGCAGAAGAAGAAAGAAACTCATACAGGTTTGGAACAAGTGGAGGGTGAGTAAATGATGCCCCATTATTATTTTTGGGTGAACTATTCCTTTAAGACCCAGATTACCGGCAAGGATTAACATGATTTCAGTCATTTTACTAACTTCAACCACACATTTTAATAATATTTCTCAAGTAATAAGCAAATGTTATAGATGGCATGCTTAAGAATATTGCCCTTAATTTTGATGTATTACAATTTTGGAACGGAATCAACATTTCATGCATGGATAGTTCTGCGTTATCCAGCCATATGTTTATACAGTAACTGCTCTACAGAACATAGCTTCCAGGTATTGCTAAGGATGGGTCACAGGGGTGAGCCAACGCCTCTCTCTTTCTTTCCCACTGCTTCTCTACGATTCAGGCGTGGCTGATCAAATACCCCCATGTCTACATCTGCTCTGTTACCACTTCTTGTGTTTTCAGTCTATGCGTAAGCCTTTTTCGTGACAACACATTACTCACACTTTATTCAGACACACCCTTAGCAGCTAATTCTCCAGCTTGTCTAAACTCCCTGGCAAGAGAACACAGACATTTTTGCTGGATTTTGGTTTGATTTAATTATTTATTTCACTAGAAAAGTATGTAATCATGGACAATTGTGTAGAGAAGGACGTATGCATTTTCCTTGCAAGCGAGAGTGACTTTGTGAGGACCTTGAAAGGGTCTAGTCTAGATCTAGTCACTGTGGCAATGAAACATCTGTCTGCTTTCACAAATACCATTCAGTGATTTGGTCTGTCATTCACACACCAGATGCTAACTCATCAGATAACAGATGACGCACACCTAATGATTTCATCAACCACCAAAGACTAACCCATTTTCACTCTTACGCAATCACAAAAACTCTTCCGGTGAATGCTGCTATACTGTCAGTATATACAAACATCAAAGACTAGAGGAGTTATAAATCATAGTTTTATCAGCCTTATATAACACTGTTCACTTTTATACCACTGTTAAAAGCCTGACACTTTTTACTACTTTTCAACATTGAACAGTTGACCTTTTGGGGTAAGTGTATGGTCTCAATGGGAACCTGTCGTTAAATAGCACATTATATTGCTGTTTTTCAGCAAAAATGTAAACCGTTATTAGATACATAATTGCAGATAACATAAACAATTTTGTGTTTATGTTATCTGTGTTTATGTTATCACACACAAAACAATTTGTGAAACAGCATATGGTAAGGATCAACAGATATTGTAATTAATCAATTGCAATTAACACCTAACCTGAGAACAAAGATCAGTTTGTGTTAAATCTGTCTTGATAGCATTGTCTTAATGCCAAGTGCGTTTTATTGTGTTCACTGTTTTACCCAACAGCTATTATGAGAGAGAGAGAGAGATTGGGATTTAATTGAAAGTCAGAACCCACAAAAATATTCTGAATTATTATACTTTTAAAAAGTTCTGCATATGACAAATTTGACAAAACCACAGCATAAAACAAGCATTAATTAATCTGGACGTTTAAATCAAAAAAAAATTTTAATTTTGTAATTTTTATAATTACTTAGATTTTTTTATTTTATTTTATTCTTCTTCTTCTTTTTTTTTTTGTGCATCCAGTGTAAACGGGATTGTGCGCGGTTCTGACGCATTAGCGAACCGGGCTGCGGTATGTGCGAGACGGTGATGGCCGTGTCTCAGCTGGACATCGAGCCTCATCCACCGGAGAACGGCTTCGTTACCCCCGAGACGAATAAATCGCCCGATTTACTCTCGCGGATCGACTGCGGCGTTTTGCCGAGCGTGGGCGGCTTCGGGAGATTTCAGAAACAGCTGATCGTTTTAACATGGATCCCGGCCATTTTCATTGGCTTCAGCCAATTTTCGGACAATTTTCTCCTGGCTGAGCCAAAGACTTGTGCGCAAGTGCAGCGGAATAACAGCGATCCTTCACTCAATGTTACGCAGGCGATATTAAATATCAACCTCAATAATGCAAGCAACTCCGCTAATGCGTCATCACAATGCATCTGTACGCAGTCGCGATGCGAACTGGAAATCGGACTAGAGCAAAATGTTGTCACAAAGGTAAGTGTGTGTGTGTGTGTGTGTTCACAAACTCAGTTTGCCCTCAGTTTCTCAGGGATAAACTTGAGCATTGGGCTGGCAGGCAGTTTCAAGCTCCCCTTATGGTTTTACTACAAATAAAACCAAAAAACATGGTTACTATGATCTTGCTACACTAACCATAGTTTAACCATGGTATTTGTAGTAAATGGTAATAATAAATGCGCCCCAAAAAAACCATGCTACTACACTTTTACAATAATAAAACCATGGTTAATTTTCGTAATGGACTTGTGTAGTAGACAAGCATGCAGTTGCATTTCACACATTTTTGCCATTTCCATCAGAGTACCCACATGAATGCATGTGGAAAGGTGAGTTTGTTTGCAAGGCATCCAGGGGCCTGCATTACAGCGCAAAGGACCGACTCTCTGTTCAGAGAATGGCATTGCTGACTGAGACGAATATGAGTCATCTGCATCAACAGCTGACAAGGTGCCAGCCATCACGGGGTGTCATGTCACTGGGTTCCCTCATGCTGACCAGATGACATAACCGCTCTGAAAAAAAAACCAACAGCACCCTTTTAACCATCTGCGTCCTGCCCTTCGGCCTCCATTAGCCTGTCGGTGCATTGTGCAATAGTGAATATGGCTCAGCAAACTCTGAGGATTACACAGTAATTCTGAGCAGCCTACAGAGATGAGAGAAAGCCACCGCAGGCCTTTTGAGTTGATCATATTAGTGCCACATTATGTGCTTCCCTGCTAATCTGGTAACTGGAGGAAGATTCCCTATTAATAACAGCTATGGTCAAGGAGTCTTCATCAAATGTGCTGTAAGACTGAAATCTTCATCTTGTTTTCTCTGTCTAGATGCTCGTGTTATGACGTGATGTATCATGTACAAGCAGAGAGGCAGATTAAGTGCTACTTTATTCCATATTTGCATAATTTGAAAAAGACCCACAGACCTGTATGCAGTGCACAGAGCCTGCCATGAGAGTGAGTGAATCAGCAAACTTGTACGAAAGCATCAATTTACCCATGGCTTTGCTGTTCTCTCTGAAAGGAAATCCTGTAACTGTGTTGGCATGCATTTCCAGCAATCAAAATTGAGCTATCGTTTCTATTTATTTATTGAAACTGTTGTCCATATGATCAATTTGGAGGTGTAATTTATGGTTGCTGCATGGAGCAAAAAAATGGTTTCTTTAATATCACCTTCTATACCAAGTAAGGCATAATGTCCAGCGTGCCATTTTTTTTTAGGTTTGTGTCGGGGTTCTAATCACTCTGTCACGTTTATGTTGTGCATTTATCCTGTTTTTTTTTTTTTAATACATCCACTTGCTACATACAGTAAGTAAATAATTGGACATGGTATATTAATTTGAGCTGGCATTTTATTAGCTCACTTGTAATGAACTCTTAACTACAAAATGAGCACTGTTGAGGTGCTTTGGGAACAGGGTTGAGAGCCTCTGAACTAAATGCATTCATGTCTGAAGTCTCGAGTAAATAATAACTGTGTCCTTTTCTTATCTAATCCTTTAAATCAAAGTCATACAGGTAGAGGCATGCTACCACAATTTTGGGGCCATTCAAAAGTCTTATGCTCACCAAGGATGCCTTTATTTGATCACAGAAATACAGTAAAAATGGTAATATTGTACAATATTATTACAATTTAAAATATCTGTTTTCAAAGTGAATATCTGTTAAACTGTAATTTATTCCTGTGGTCAAAGCTGAATTTTCAGCATCATTACGCCAGTCTTCAGTGTCACATGATCTTCAGAAATCATTCTGATTTGCTGCTCAAGAAACATTTCTGATTATTCTCAATGTTGAATACAGTTGTGCTGCTTAATATTTTGGTGGAAGCTGTGAAACAGTTCTGCAAAAGGCAGCAAAGTTCATACATTTCACGTCAGTTTAATTTAGTTTTAATTCAGTTTAGTACCAGTGTCGATGTTGTGAGAACAGCATTTATTTTAAAGATTTTTAAAAATATATTGTCACTGTTGATCAGTTTAATGCATCCTTGTATAAAAGAATTAATGTATTAAAAAAAAAATCTTATTGACCTCACACTTAAAATAAGCCAATAAATCGGAGATAATAAAGTTGTATAATATTTGTTTAAATAAATAAAAAAGAATAAAAAAACAATAATTTTAGGTGAATTTAGGCAACACAGCATTGAATCTTGAATAAGTATTTGTTGATGTATTTGGATTTTATAGTTTTTGTCAGTTCAGTGTCCTCATCTTCCAGTCAGTTTCTTTGTGTTCAGTAGATGAAGAATTAGTTTCAGGTAGGAAACACTGACATACAGTAGTCTTTGCTGGAAAGGGCATCTATGAAGTCCTGAAATGACCCAATATCTTACAGTGTGTGTCATGCCTTTGTGGCACCAGGTCTTATGTTTTACAGTCAGCTAACAGAACCTCAGACTTAGTTTTAATTCCGTTTAGTACCAGTGTCGATGTTGTGAGAACAGCATTTATTTTAAAGATTTTTAAAAAATATATTGTCACTGTTGATCAGTTTAATGCATCCTTGTATAAAAGAATTAATGTATTAAAAAAAAAATCTTATTGACCTCAAACTTAAAATAAGCCAATAAATCGGAGATAATAAAGTTGTATAATATTTGTTTAAATAAATAAAAAAGAATAAAAAAACAATAATTTTAGGTGAATTTAGGCAACACAGCATTGAATCTTGAATAAGTATTTGTTGATGTATTTGGATTTTATAGTTTTTGTCAGTTCAGTGTCCTCATCTTCCACAGTCAGTTTCTTTGTGTTCAGTAGATGAAGAATTAGTTTCAGGTAGGAAACACTGACATACAGTAGTCTTTGCTGGAAAGGGCATCTATGAAGTCCTGAAATGACCCAATATCTTACAGTGTGTGTCATGCCTTTGTGGCACCAGGTCTTATGTTTTACAGTCAGCTAACAGAACCTCAGACAAAAACCAGTCTATCACCTGAACAATTTGACTAAGTCTGTTATTTAAATAGTTATGAATCTCATTGCACTTAAAAATAACTAGTAGTACAAATAAATAATGCATGTGACACCTGTAGACACTTAAATGTTTCTCATTTAAACTTTCTTTTTAAAATAATCTAAGCTATTATAAATCTCGTACATCTGCTCAAAGCGAGTCTTCACTGTATTTGAGCCATTGTTTCTGGTGAAGACATGCACTGCTCCCCACAAATTCCCCAGCCAGGCCGCTAAAGCTTCTTCTTTCGAACCTTGAGACAGGTTTTCTCCTGTCAGTGTGATCTTCGGGGAAAGTGAGCTGTTTGCAGGCATCTCATTAATAAGAAGCTGCATGCTGCAACTCGTGTGCGGATTCGTTATTGACCTCATATGCGTGATTGGCGTAGTATTTCACCTGCTTTAGCTCTAATTCAATGCGTGCTTTGCATTTCTCATGCTTTTCGTGGATAGCAACTGGTGAAAGATTCATGTGTGATGGCTATTGGTGTTTTTTGTCGACTTTACTGACGGTATCTGCTGGCACCATATATTTGCATATCGCGTCGGTTATTTCCTTGTGCAGTTTTGAGCTCCTCTCAGAAGACGTGATGCTCGCAAATGCCGGAATGATCAATATTTGTTCAGTTAGGTTGGCTTTGAGGTGTTCTTTTGTTTGTTTTTTGACATAGTTTGTTGTCATACGCTGATCATATAGGTTTTTATGGTGGTGTCTAGGGCTGTGCGATATTGAAGAAAAATGCGATATGCGATAACTCATTAAATAATGCAATATTCGATATGCGATACGATGATGCTTAAAGTGCCACATGCTCAGATGAAACAGTTTTACTCAGCTGTTGCTGAGTCAGTTCTGTGAACTTCTATAACTATCTTGTGTCATATATATATATGGTTATTTGAATAAGTATTTGTTGATGTATTTGGATTTTATAGTTTTTGTCAGTTCAGTGTCCTCATCTTCCAGTCAGTTTCTTTGTGTTCAGTAGATGAAGAATTAGTTTCAGGTAGGAAACACTGACATACAGTAGTCTTTGCTGGAAAGGGCATCTATGAAGTCCTGAAATGACCCAATATCTTACAGTGTGTGTCATGCCTTTGTGGCACCAGGTCTTATGTTTTACAGTCAGCTAACAGAACCTCAGACAAAAACCAGTCTATCACCTGAACAATTTGACTAAGTCTGTTATTTAAATAGTTATGAATCTCATTGCACTTAAAAATAACTAGTAGTACAAATAAATAATGCATGTGACACCTGTAGACACTTAAATGTTTCTCATTTAAACTTTCTTTTTAAAATAATCTAAGCTATTATAAATCTCGTACATCTGCTCAAAGCGAGTCTTCACTGTATTTGAGCCATTGTTTCTGGTGAAGACATGCACTGCTCCCCACAAATTCCCCAGCCAGGCCGCTAAAGCTTCTTCTTTCGAACCTTGAGACAGGTTTTCTCCTGTCAGTGTGATCTTCGGGGAAAGTGAGCTGTTTGCAGGCATCTCATTAATAAGAAGCTGCATGCTGCAACTCGTGTGCGGATTCGTTATTGACCTCATATGCGTGATTGGCGTAGTATTTCACCTGCTTTAGCTCTAATTCAATGCGTGCTTTGCATTTCTCATCCTTTTCGTGAATAGCAACTGGTGAAAGATTCATGTGTGATGGCTATTGGTGTTTTTTGTCGACTTTACTGACGGTATCTGCTGGCACCATATATTTGCATATCGCGTCGGTTATTTCCTTGTGCAGTTTTGAGCTCCTCTCAGAAGACGTGATGCTCGCAAATGCCGGAATGATCAATATTTGTTCAGTTAGGTTGGCTTTGAGGTGTGCTTTTGTTTGTTTTTTGACATAGTTTGTTGTCATACGCTGATCATATAGGTTTTTATGGTGGTGTCTAGGGCTGTGCGATATTGAAGAAAAGTGTCTCAGATGTTGGTACATATTTGTGGTATTGTGCCATTTTTTGAAAAAAAAAATTGATAGGTCTTACCATAGTGATCCT